AAAATTAAAAACTATTTTTTATTGTGAAATATTAAAGACTGTGATTATAAAAAAATTTTGTTGTATTCTCGGGATATCATTGATATGGTATTTTAGGTTAATGAAAAAATTCCACATCAATTTTTATCTGTCAAGTGATTGATGAAGTGTGAAAAAAAGAGCTAACATGGTGTTGTTTGATTGGTATCACAGGAATACAATAGAATTTATTGTGATTATAACCATTTTTATCATCTTAAGGTTAAGGTGTAAATTTTTAACTGATGTTTTATGTTCTTTTAACCACAACTCTTCAATAACATGTGTTTCCATACTCTAGTTATGACCACTCTTCTTGTCATTAAGGTATATTTTTAACTTATATATTTATTTTAGTACATAGGAGTAGTGTATTTATACACCAATTAATCTAGGAGTTTAGAGTTTACAAACACTTAGAAGATCTTTTATTATCTTTTACCTCACTTAATTTAGAAGTTCTCAAAATAATACTAATTTATATTTAAATAGTAAAATTTTAAAGTCATAGCATCGATAAATATGCTGATTTTTCAAAAAATATATTAAAATTCACAATGTCAATTTTTCTTAACAAAAGCTTAACACTTGCTAATTAGATTTCCTTATGGTTCAAGGCGAGTTGCACCAGGAATGATCTTTTGCACTGCCAACCATGAATCAGGCTCTACCATTACCTTTGCTATAATTCTTCTGCCATGCAAGTTCTAAAGCTTTAAGAATGGCTTAGATTGCCGCGCGTATTGCATGACCGGTGCCCAATTGCATGGCAAACTTTAACTTATATATTTTATGTTGTTTTAACCACAACACTTCAGGAACACGTGTTGTATAACTACAACCTCTCAATTCATTTTCTTGTTATTTAATAAGACCTTTACCATGAAAAGTTAGACATTAAAGTTCTTTCAATCTTGAAAAAGGGTATATAAATTCCTTTTTATTGTGGGTTAGACAACGGGAACTAATCCTTTCCCATCTTGTACCTAAAGTGACATGCATTCACTAACATGACCCCATGATTTAATAATCTAAGCTTAAAAGAGATTACGATATAACCTTAGCTAAGGTCTCAACAACACCATAAAACAACAAACCAGTATGCAATTTGTAGAACAAAACTTTAACCGTAGAAAGGAAACGCATCATGGAAGTGCACTTGATATTTACTTTCCAGAACATATCTGAAAGACTTCGACAAAATTCGATTGAAAAGAAATGTGATGAACAAAGCAACCGGTACAACAAACCATGTCAACCCAGTTTTTCAGGGTACTTCCCCAATAGCAATCATGGGAATGTCACTTCGTCAATCACCTCGTTACCAAGTTCTCAAGATTGTAGAAATCCGCGTCGCTTGCAATATTTTCCTTCTACAAACCTAACCCCAACCCCATTACAGGCGTATGTTTCACCGCCTCATTTGAAACTTGTGTTTCCAACTTCTCATGATAAGGTGGATGCTGAAAGCTCAATCATGTAGAAGTTGGAAACTTTAAAGACCATTTGGTATCACTTATTAAAGAACCGAAAAAAGGGGAAAAAAAGACCTTTTAAGAAATAACTGAGAATTCATATAGAAAATGAAAAGTTAAAACTACAAATTTTTAAAGGTTTCATGTTCTAAATTTATATTAGAATTCAGGTTGCCTCTGATAGCATTCACCTTTCTTCTTTTTGAAGTTTTAAGATAAAAATTATATAAGTTTTCTAATTAAACTTTTTATCATTTGAAAATGAAAACTTTAAATGAATAAAAAAAACAAAACTAAATTTACAATAATAAAACAAAATCCAAAGCAAAAAACATAAGCCAATTAAAAATTATCATAATATGTGTACGGAGAAAGTTTGAGTATACAAAAGAATACAATATTTAAACAGTAGGACAAAATTTCATTTTGATACATTATTTACTATTGTTCAGTTATACATACATTATACAAATATATCATGTATTTTTTTTAAAGTAATTTAAGATTCAAAGATAAATAAATTCACCATAAAAAACTTGAAATCTATAAATAGTGGATACAGAAAACACAAATATCAGTCAAGGATATAGGATATAATAGTATTGATAACATATACAAATGGTGCTTTTTGTGTAAAATTGTACCCATAAAAATCATTTTTTTTTCTCTAACTTCCAAAGAAGCTGCTTGTTAATTCCTTCAACAATCCAAAAAAAATGCATATGTTTTCCTAATCTTTTCGACTTTTTAAAAATAAAAAACAGAAAAAAGTGAACTGTTTCAAATAAAGAATAAAAACCAGAAGAAAACTCAGAAACGAAAGTGATACCAAATGGATCTCAAAGTTTGAAATGAGATGAGAAAAATATACCTGCCAACTGTAGTTGAGGGAAGATTTGCTGAGGAAAACACTGCAATCCCAGCTAATCTCACAACCAAGAACCTCAGCACTACGGTAATGTGACAAGTAGTTCATCCCAATATCACTAGCAAGGAAATTACTCCTTTAACTGAGACTAACACATGGTTGAAGCTATTGACTGTCCATCGCATTTCTATAACCGAACTTCATAAAGTCTTCCCAAATATGTAATAGCAAACAATATCGCATACACTTCCACAATTACAACCATCCTTTTCACGATGAAGTTTTGAATCCACATTATGAATACTGGAAGGTTATTCTAAAGAGTTATGATTCCTCACATGGTTATATCGCCTCTTTAACTCAGATTTTTATATCTTAACTAAACCATGTTGGGACATTAGTTCCCATGCATGTCTACCTCACTAACCACGTGTCCAGTGTGTGTGTGAAGTTGATTAGTGTAAATAAACTCCAATCCATTTCAATTACAACTATACAATCCAGATGTACAAGTATAATAAAGAAAAGGAAAACAGAAAAGAAAATTTGGATGTTAACTAAACACTATGAACAAAACCACCATCTTGGCTCCTTATAGTTCTGTGACCTGTTCTCCATAAGCAAGGTGAAGCACACAAATAAAGAAAATCAATTAGGCTCATTAGTAAGTAATTAAATCAAAACAGAAACAAAAACAGCAATTTAACAGATTAAATATCACAAAAGGAAATGAATTGTTATGGGTGGGCATATAGGAATGCTTAATAGGTCTAGGGTTTAGTTCTACATTTTTTTCCCGAAGAGAGCCGAGATGAAAATGGTATCTCAAGGAACAATTCAAAATGCAGAGTGAAAATAAATCATAATTCCAGTGAACGCTTAGAACATAAAGAATATTGACATTTCCCAATTCTAAGATTAATTAAACATCACAATCAACCTTGTGCTAAAAGCTTAAAACTTGGAAAGAATATGCACTTAAAACTTAAAAGATAGGCAAATCTCAGAAGAGGAAACAAAGGCCACAAGAACTGAAATCAAATCAAATCAAATCAAACCAAACCACAATTCAAACACATACCAAAATCTCAAAATAACTTACATATCGTAATCAACCTACAATCGAATTGCAGCAAAATTCCATCTAACCGGCCCGAGGAAGGGAATTAAAAACGTACCATCTAGAACAAACTACTGGGGCTTTAATTTGCAATAAACCCTAACATTGGTCTACCTCAAAAACCTACACAAAACCGGTAGTTGATATCAAAGTAAAGAATTGAATATATCTGATTTCTTGTAGAAGCATATCAAATTCTTAAATTCCTAATCAAACTTTTCATAAATACATACACAAAAACATTAAGAGACCGAATTTGGAAACCAATAAATATATCTGATCTCTCTTGCAGAGAACTATCTCGCCCTTGGCAGTGAAATTCCCAAACAAAGTTCAAAAACGCTAAACAGAATGAGAATGAGAGAACTCCATAAAAACCCAAACTTAATCTATCGATCTTGACTTTCATTAGGCTGTTCTTTAAATTTACATCTTCAATTTCTACCAAAAAATAAAAAATAAAAAACTAATAACCCTAGACTACGCTGCCATAAAATAAGAAGGGAGAATACCTGTTCCAAAGAGGAAGATAAGTTGTAGCCTCTGAATATGGATCTCGGTCTGAGGAGGATCGGAGGTGTAGCGGCGCGGGGAGGCGAAGGGTAACGGCGACGCTGAAGGCGTAATGCCAGAGGGAGAAGGGGAGGGGGGGATCGGGAAAGACGTAGAAATAAGTGGGGAAAGAAAAGGGATAAATATAGCCGTTAGAGTCGATAATCGGACACCATTTTATTTATTTATTTATTTATATACATAGATGGGGGAACCGAATAGTGGGCCGGAAGAATGGATCAAGGCCTTTTCTTTCTTTTGTCCAATTAATTGTTGGGCCTCAGAACTTTTTTTTGGGCAAAGCTTGGGACAGTTTGATTTGTTTCAAAACAAATTATAAATCCCTGCCCCCCAGGATTATTTTTCTATGAAAATGATTTATAATATTGGGGCTTCTTATTCTATTTAATGGTTAAAATAGAGCAATATTATTTCATTCATAATCTATCTAACAATAAAGTCTCATAACAAAATAATTATAATTGCCTCAAATTTTTTTTTTTGAATATGTTTACAAGTATCAGATTCGAACTGTTAATTGAAAAAAGAAAAATGCACTTTTAACGTAATTTTGTTACAACTAGAGCCTTTGGGTCCAAGTGCTATAATTGCCCCTATTTTACCTTACAAAATATATAAATTTATATGTATTGACCAATTTAATGTAACATGTAAATGGTAATACTTATTTAGTATAATATCACACATAAATATTATAACACTTCATTGTAATATAATTTTATGGGTTTCAACTCTGTTTTTAAAAAGAAGTAAAATTATTATTGGTTTTCTAATTTCTTCGATACTAAATTGTTGTGTGTACCCCTTTTTGGTCAATTGAGACTTGTGACTGTGTTAAGCTGAATAAATGGAAAGGATGGAAGAAATCTTGTTGTGGGTCAAATAATTAGATTCATAATCAATGTCTGCAAGAAAAAATTATTTCTACAATTCAAATGAATCATCCTGGTGTACTGTTTAAAAATCTTCCATGAGTTTCAACAAGATTAGACGATTTACATGGAACTCTTGCCCCCACAAATAAATCTACCCCTACACTAATTTCCAGTCTAGTACACCAATTAAATGACAAATTGTAAACCTAATCTACAACAATTTTGTTTCCTCATCTAACAAATTCACCTGATGCCTTGAACTTCTGGGGATATGCAAATTTGCAGTCTAGAATGAATGACTCCCATCTACTGGTGATTTGGATGGTCATTCAGTTGAGCTGCACCGTTAAGGATGCCAATTCAGCCTTCAACAAAGCCAGCTCACTCTGGAAAGATGGACTGTCTGCCTGATCATCAGAAGTTGCAGAGACATCAAGTCCTGAATCAATTCTACTACTATCTTCCAACATAAAATTCTCATGAGATGTTAGTGTATTTGGTTTCAAATCAATGTTAAATTTTTTGTCAATCAGTGTTCTGCATCTCATTTCCCATCTTCTGCTTCCAATTCACATTCCATCAGAGGACCTTGATTTGTATCCAGACTGATACCTGAATGCTCTTTGTGCAAGCAGTGGTCAGCTGCCAACGAACCTTGAAGAGTATCGGTTACTTTCTCAGGACATTGAATCTCATCAATGAGTTGGGTCTCAACCAACGGAGCTTCCAATTCACATTCCATCAGAGGACCTTGATTTGTATCCAGACTGATACCTGAATGCTCCTTGTGCAAGCAGTGGTCAGCTGCCAATGAACCTTGAAGACTATCGGTTACTTTCTCAGGACATTGAATCTCATCATTGAGTTGGGTCTCAACCAACGGAGATTCTTCAGTCTCAACCAACGGAGATTCTTCAGTGTCAACCAATGGAGATTCTTCACTCCTCATAGCCAGGTTATGTGGACATGAAGGAGGGGTTCTTTCACGACAGACATGACATCTAAATCCAATAAGCTTATCTTTCTTCTCATCATCAAGTCCATAAGCATCTCCATGATACCAGCCTGCATGGTAACACATTGAAAGAGATGTACGGAATTTAAGTACATGGTAAATGGTGGATATTTAAAAACAATATGTAGATCGTTTGAAAAAAAGACTAAAATAATGGGAAGTAGCTACCTCCACAAAGTTGGCAGGCAATATACTCTGATCTAGATGTATATCCAGATTCACAACAAAGAAGGCATTTGGGTTGATCAATAACAGTCAAGTCCTCAGAAGGAGCAAAAACACTTGCCTCCTTAAACTGCACCACCCTCGCATCATTATCCTTTCTAGACAACAAGAGACCATTAAGCCAATAACTATGACAAGCATTTGTTCTTTTCCTCTGCAACGTACCTTTCTTTGATTTTTTAGTTGTTTTCTTCTTAGAGTTCTGTTTCACTTTCTTGGGTCTGCCACGCTTCTTACTTTGCACTGAAATGCTTTTAACTTTCCTAGATGAACGACGAAGAGGTACAACGGCTACAACTTTTTTATCATTCTTCACTCGTGGTGACCTTCGCACCGGCAATGCCATTTTGTTGTCTTTTAACCACACTGACTTGTTAGCTCTCAGGGACTTCTTATACTTTAGTGACTGTTGTTTCACACCTTTGTTGTTAGTTTTCCCTCTTTTTGTGTCACTTTTGATAGCTTTTGCATCAGCCTTAGTTTTCTTCCTTTTTGTGTCACTTTTCCCACTTTTTGCAACAATATTCCACTTCCCACTCTGGCATCGATGACATGTATATGTACATTTGGCAGGGATTGCCCCAAAAGACCTTCTAACATGCCTTTTATGGAAAAATCCTGAAATTTACATAATAACATCAGATATATAACATAGAATAGATGAGGAAAGCAATAAGGCCTATATTTATATGTTGTATTAGCTAAAGGAAAACTATAATGTGCCTGCAACTTGCATAACGTAACACCCCCACCCCCCACCCCCAAAAAAAGAAAAAAGGAAAGAGCCTCTATTGAAATTTGCCACAGCTTAAAAACCCAAAACTTTTTGAACTTCAAAATTTTCTAGCATTTCACTATTGTCTTGAAGATCTTCGCTAAAGCTAGATCCACATAACAAAGGTCGATCCAAGAGGAGGAAACAGGCTGGAAATATTTTCAGGCATTGACTGCTATCATTACCCCCATTCTTTTTAGGTTAAGATACAAGGTAGAATGCCTAAATCTACCTTAAAGTTAAGCAATAGGGAGAGATCCACCCTTGAACAAAAACAGGGACAAATCTACCCACAAAGTTTTTGACTACGACAAATCACCCCAAATTTGATGAGTGACATGAGATAATGTCAGCAATATGTTAACTTCTTATGCAGTTGATAAGTTCATTACTAATCGATTGCTGATGTCACACATTATTTGAAGTGATTTGTCCAAGTTGAAAACATTGTGGGTGGATTTGTCCCCATTTTTTGTTCAGTGATGGATCCATCCCTACTACCAAACTTTGGGGGTGGATTTGGGCATTCTGCCAGGATACAAGCTAGACATAAAGTCACTGGCATAACAGACATCACCATAATTTGTACTTGTCTCAATAAAAAGCAGTACCATCCAGAGCATAACTTTTTTAGCAATAAAATATAGGACAATTAAGCAGAAATGAGAATCTTATTGAAGAGACCACTTACCCTCACAATATTGGCAGCGCACACCTTCCCTGCAAACATTTCCACGAGGAAGAAAAAATGAATTCTCAATAGGGTATTCAATGAGAAAATCCTTAGGCTATTAACCTTATTACTTCGAAATATAAGCAGAAATTATTCAAACATCCAAACCAAAGATTCATCCACATATTTATCCATTCTATCTTACTGTTTCAACCACACATGCTACATACATTGAATCCAGTTAAAATCCACCATTAAACCAATCTACCTACAATGCCATCCATATAAGAGAAAGCCGAAATGGTGATTATAATAATGAAACCAAAATCATTAACTTATAAAAAGGTCTTACAAAAATGACTTGGGATTCCTTTGGCCATAGTAATCAATTTATTTTTTTAAGTTTTACATGGTCTAAGTAAAAGTTCAATATCCCTATATTGGCAACTTTTTTGAATCAAGGAGTCTGCTGTTATTTGGTAGAACTTATGTTGTATGCAACCTAGGGATTGAGCAGAATACCATTTATCATGTTTAACCAATTATTCCGAATATTTCTTTTCTGGGATAATTTACACAGATCTGAAGTACGTAAATGATCTTAATCCTTCAGGTCAAACATACCTACACAGTCACTTAAGTACAAATTTGACAAAAATAATTAGAAGAAACTGAAAAAATAATATACATACCTGATTGGGACATCTTTGTTGCAATGCCCACACTGATGACAATCAGGTCTCTCTGCTCTTGCAAATAGATAGGAGAACCCCCTTGTCTTTGAGGGCTTCTTAACTGCTTTACTTGTCTTGGAAGAAATCTCAGGATTAATCTTACCAGATTTGCGGGCTATTCTCTTCTCTTCAAAGCTTCTCAAGAGATGCAAGGGCACATAAGATTCACTTAACCAATATTTCTTTCTTTCGCTGGAAGACTCTTCAACCATGGTTCCATTTTTCATAACAATTTCAGGAATGCTTCTCCTTTTACCAAAATCAAGAAGATACTTAACCTCTTCTCCTTCTAAAGATTTTCTTCGGATAACACATTTCTTGAACAGTCTGATTGATTTCTTAAATTCCTTGTCCAATGCAGGGAGAGGGTGTGTGTTTTCAATGTCATCCCACCTAATATTTGAATCAAGTTCTCTAACCTGAAAATATAACACAAATAATGAACCAAAGATTCTAAAAATAGCACTTTTTGAATAAAACAAGATATCAATCAACTCATGAACATATATAACTGAAATCCAAGAAATCAAGGTGGACAATGAGCAATTAGGTAGAGTCACAAAATATTTATACAATCTATTGTTCCATTAAGATGGCATAAATCAGTGTATGTGGTATGTGATATACCATTGCAAATATTACTCAATGGACAAAAAGAAGAGACAAAATACGTAACTTGACAGATATTAGCATTGACAACATCACAACATTCTCCAGGGTAACGTTATTCATAAATCCGATCGGTTCAGAGCATATGGAAACCAGAAAAGAAGGCATCTAAAATTATATCATATTGCTAGACTAAGAAGTAATAACAACATGCTTAAAATTGCACAATTTTGAAGGCCAGATGGCTCTGGTTGCTGACAAAACTAACCGTCCTCCTCGTTGATCAAAATTCCAAAATCAGGTACAATACCTGGAGTGCAACCTGCTCCACGCTTGTTGATGATGCAACAGCAGCTTGCCAGGCAACATATTTGTTTCTCTTTGCAAAGTCTGAATTCTCAGGGTAAAGTATGCCTGGTATCTTCACACGGCCCGCTGCAAATTTAAGCTTGAAACATATTCAGACACATTATTCAGTTGATAAAACCCATAGAAGAAAGAAAGCAAGCAAGAATTACAGACCTTGCCTAGCAGCCTTGGAAACTAAAGAGTAAGGTAAAATCTTCCAGCTGAACAATTGACGAGAAAGCTGACCACCCCTCCACCAACAAATACTGGTTGAAGCAGCAGATGAAGTAGGGTTAACATCAAACTCAGAAGGCCTACACCTTTTCCTTGCAATCCCATGCTTTGAGGATGTACGAATTGTAGCCACAGCATGAGAAGCTGAACCCAATGCTACAGCAGAATCCAAAGGTTTCAACCAGTCTGCTGAGAGTGCACGACGATGCAGATTTGCCTCTAACTGCATTATGCCCCTCAAAACATACAAAATGTCAGAAAAACACACATGAATAAATGAGGAGAAAACATAGATATTATTATAGTCAGGAAATGATAAGGTAATCCGGACCCACATGACTAGCCAAACCAAACAGCTCAGAGTGAAAAACAACTTAGGACCTACCTAAAAAGATAACAAGAATGCTTAGCTTTTATCTGTCAGCAAATTTATATATCAAGAAAATGTAAAAGTAGCAGCCTTTTGGAATCTAAACTATTTTGAACTGTAAACCAACCACAATTTAGGAGAATATCCAAAATGGACTAAAATTGGGTTTAGCAGTTTATGTAAAACAAATTGGATAACACTTATCATATTAAGTTCAACATATTAGCTCTAAACCTGATAACACTTGTCGTATTAGGTTCAACATATTAGCTCTAAACCTTACGTATATTCAATGGTGAAATCCCTAAGTTAAAATACAAAGGAAAACACTGTACCATTAGCAACAAATGTTTGACAGATGCAGCATCAGTGGCCTTGAGAATACTTTCACGCCAAGCCTTGGTGTACTGTGGATTCAGCCATGGACCCAACAAAAGCCCATGCAAACGATTTTCAATGGAAATAATATGACTAACGACATCTATAAGATGGCCTTTTCTTTTCAACTTCAATTGAAGGCCAACCAACACACTTTTTGAACCTTTCTGAAGAGGACCTCGAATCATGTTAAACAAGCAATCCATGTCATCAGTAGGGTATCTACAAGTGAAGCACCACCCACATTTTTCTTTCTGGACATCAGTATTTTGGTGCTGAACATCTGGCCATTGAAACATGTTGGATTTCTTCAAAATAGTCTTCATCTGTGTTGAGATAATCTCCTCTTCTGATTTTAGAGCCTCTCCATTCTTCTTGTCTGATAACTTAGGCATTAACTCTTCTAAAACTGAAGAAGCTGTTTGAGCAAAAGCATAACTGTTCATGTAACCAGATCCCCTCTGCATTTTTGATGTGTCTCCTGTTATTCGGTTTCTGACTGGTAAGGGGTCACCAGGGGCCAACAAGTTAACAGATCCTTGATTGCCATGTGAATCCATTCGTGCAGTTTCATCTGACCCTTCAGAATCTACACAGGGAATTTCAGTTTTGTTCACTGTATCCAACAAGTTAACAAACTTCTCTTCAGGTTTTCCTCCACCAGTAGTCTCATTTTTCATTGCACATATATTAGAAGAAGCTAAAGGTGGTATCTGGATGCTAACAGCAGGAATTTGCCCATTTACAAGCCTGTCTAAAGATACATAACTGAGAAGGTTGAAGTTGCCACTAGCTCCCTTTGAGCCAGCAGATATATGCCACTGCTTGTAAATTGCTTTTATTATGTCACCATAGATAATATCTGAAGTCTTCAGCACATCAATAATGGCATTGAGATCATCTTTATGATAGTAATTGAACAAGAATTCATTGTCACTTGAATCTAACCTGCAATTCAATAACACAACTAAGTTTGTTGACTTGTACATTATGTGATAATAACTTTTGTAACCCAATGGATGTTGATGACAATAGGCATCTTTTGGATATAATATCATATACGAGAACATCAAGGCGTAAACCAAGTAAACAAGAATAAAAAACATGAAAAAATAAAAATAAAAACTAGAAAGATAAAACATCTCAACCAAGCTTAGACATCAAATAATTTGCTTGATTATT